TGCATCAACAGTAAAGAGGCTGGAATCAGGATCCAGAGCCAGGCATTAAACCCAGGTCCTCGCACACCAGATGTGGGCATCTTAACTGCAAGGCCAAATACCTGCCCCTATTTTCTAGTTCTAATCTTGGTTCATTAATTCATATCTAGCTCAGCTACACTGGACCTACTAAAGATCCCAATATTAAATCTGAAATATCCTGATATATCATGGAGTAAACGTCACGAACCCTCCTCAGGATGTTCTTAGTGGCACCTGGGAAAACCTGAAGCAGCAATGCTTCCCGTCTATTTGGCTAGAGGGTCACAGTCAACACAATCTAAATGTACTGAGCTCTGGTTCCTAACTGGCCATAACTTAGACCCCACAGGTGCCAAGTTTGATACCCACTAGGGAGTTCAGAAGACATCATTTATGTATTTTTAAGTGTGGGTTTATGAAACAATCCCCTCCGGCTGGACAAGTGGGCTATGTTAATTGGTCAACAAGTGCGCATTTCCAGAGACAACTGCTTTGTTTCAGTGACCACCGCTTCTCTCAGAGCTGGATGGGGACTGATGACGTATCACCAACATTTCTACTTAGGTAAGGCTAAGGCTGGAGGGCAGAAGGAGCAGCTCCAAGAATCTCTTCATCTAGTTGATTTGTTAGCAAACAAGGTAGGAGACTCGAAGAAGATACTGATCTTGCTAAGCACCCAAGATCTAGAAAGCAGAATCCTGCCTTGATGTTGAAAGCTCGCAAAGGCTGTCTCTGTACAGATTAGCACATTTTGCTTTTTGAACTAAGGCGACAGAGCCTCTGTGTGCTGAAGCTCAGCAGGCTGGGTGCGGGCTAAGGCAGACTACTCTGGCAGCAGTCACATTGTGCTCCCTTTCAGGAAATGACGCAGAGCTTCTTCCAATGCTTCTGCTTGGGACTTGGCTGCTGGGAGTGAAAACATGGAAATGTTCGTATTTTGGTTTCCATACAGCTGAAAAGCAAAGTTGAAATGCCAGCCTGAGTTAGGAATCTGGCTAAGATTATTTTTTTGAGCCTTTTGATATCAGCAAACTTGGTAACATAAAGAAATGAGAGGGTAAGGAGGTAAGATTACATGCAGCTAAGGATATGAGGCAATATATCTAATGAAGCTCTTCCCATTAAGAGCTACTCCATAAGAACAAACGACAAAACCACAACAACGAGGCACAAAGAAATCAGTTTTGAAATCCTTTTTGATGGAGATGAGCCCACCAATTTAGAGACCCAAATCAGCTTTGTGGGAGAGTTAAGTTACTACTGAATAGATCAACCCTTTGTCCAAATGTGTAGTAAAATAATCTCATGAACCAAAGGACACATGTCTTAGAGACAAGAAGAGCTGACCACCATATTCTATGTAATAAATTTCATTACTTTTAAAGCTCTCATTTCTTTAGAGAATTGTCAGTTTCCAGCATAGAGTCAGGTAGCCATATTTGGAGAACTATTGGAGATGACACCACTGATTTAAAGCTGTACCCCAAACCACACATGCTTTTCTCTGGTTTTTATAAACAATTCTAAATGAGAGGTTACAACTGAGATTGTTCTACCAAAGCATATGATACAGCTAATGTCCAATCAACACTAGGCATAAGCAATTATCAACTAACAGGAAAACCTGTACTAGTATTTGATTCTCAACCTGATTATTTTTGTCTGCATTAGTGGGCAGAGATGGACAGAAATCCCTCCAATAAGTAGCCTGAGAGGGGAACCTCAGATAAAAACTAAATCATTTTGATAGGTTTAACACTATTTTATCAGTCCAAGAAGCTGAAGTTTGGTCAAAATGAACAAATAGCCAGAAGGCAGAGAGCTTTACAGAAGGACTGCTGTGTTTAAGGCAGGGCAGAGAGAATAAAGCAAAAATAAACAGACAAACAAATAAACGAAGAGGGAAGGGAAAGTAGGTAGGTAGACGGGTACGTATGTACATACATAAGGAAGCGATGAATGTGGAAGACAGAACACTGGCCTTGATTCTAGATATCTCTGTGATTAAAGCAACTGACTTAACTCTTCTAAAATTCCTCATTGTACACAACTCTGTGAGCCTAGAACTAAATTACCTATATGGCCCCTCAGCTCCCACATGCCAAGATTTTGGACAGGTGGGATTCAGAGGCTGCAATACCTGGAAGAAAGTAAGTTTTAAGTTTTGCGCTGGCAAAATGGCAGGTAGGTCTGGGGCCAGACTACAGTATTTGCATTTCTAACAAGCTCCCAAATGAAGCTAACAGCACTGGTCTGAGACCACTATGAAGAAACACTATCCTAGAGAAAAGTGAAGGAGGGCAAGTGAGCATGGTTACACGTGAGAAACAGCTGCCTAGACTCCTCTCATCTCCCGTGGGGAGGTGGGGAAGGATTATCAGTGATGTGACCAATGAATACTTGATGAAATAGATAAGTTATTTCCTCTGCTGAGCAAAGCTTGGCTGTGACCAAAGCTCCATAGTGCAGAACAGCTACAGTACACAATGGTCTCTAATACGGATTGCATATTACACCTGCAGAACTCTTCAGAACCTTTAAGACTACCATATACATTGACATGTTTATGCAAAACTGGGAGTATAAACTGGGGATTCTACTTAGGATCTTGAAAATCACAGAATAGTTATATAACTTGATTTTTTAAAAATAAAACCCATGCTAACATTTTTAAAAAGCTATGTACAGTGAAATTTCCTTATACAGTGAGGTATCTCATAGGTGAACTTTTCAGAGAACAGAACTTTAAACAGACATGCTTTTATTTTCATCATTTTAGAAGGAAATCTTTCTGAAAGACAATGTGGGCATAAAGGAAGCTTTCTGTTACTACCCAGTGTTCCCATAATACACACAACAGTGTCAGCTCTGTAATGAATAAACTTGGGTCAACCAGAATGACATGAAACCATTCACTCTGACACGGAATGTGCTCAGGATTCCATAGGCCTGTGACTTCCACAACAGTCCCCTCAGGGCTATCAGCTACTACTGCTCAGCATGCCCACCTCTGAGTTGCACTGGCATACTTTTCCCACTTGGACCTACAATGACTCTATAGTAAGGAATATAATTATAGGCTTTAAGGTGTTATGTTCTTCAGATGACTTTTTGGCTGGTTAATTTAATCCCAGGTTGGTCTATGGACAGTTGAGTAGCTGTGGGCAGCAGGGAAATGGAGAACTACCAGGCTTTGTGTACCATTTTGATCAAGTGTGCTGTATCAGAGACACATCTGGGTAGTCAGTGTATCTAGTAAAGAAACTATATTTCCATTCACTTCCAGGGTAATGTAACTCAGGTTGCTCTTCTTGTCCAAACTATAAAAACTTATCAACCTTAGCATACTATGTGAATGCTCTAAACATTTCACTGTCTTATGTGCAACTTATTTGAAAATAGAAAGCCTAACAGAGCAACAGAATTCAAGATAGCTACTCGGTAAAGGAGAAATGTAAGGTGAACCTCATGAGACAAGGAACAACGTCTGCTGTAAACTGACCACAAGGGAATTCCTAATGTTGTTATCTTAGTATTAGCGCTCAAAGTCATACAAAGATCACATTTACTGACCTGGGGAATGCTGGGAAGTTGCAAGTGAGGTCATGGAATTAGAGAGGTTAAGGTTGGCAGTGATACTAAGCTGGCTCTGCAGTGCAGGAGGGTAAGGAGATGTGGGTGTCAGGAGGGACTCCTCACTGGCTTCTTCATCAATTCCAGGCAAGTACGTGTCAATCAAGGCATCAAGAAACTTAACAATAAGCTCAGCATAGTCTGGGATTTGTGTTTGCTGTAATGGAAAATAGGAAATTATTTTAGCTCCACTTTCTTATTCTTTTTTCTTTTTCTTTCTTTCTTTTTTGGTAAATCCCCTCAGAAGCCTAAAAAGATCAACTCATGTTTTCTTTTGGGCTTAATTTACTATTTTTCTTTGTATTACAGAGCATAAAATGGGGGTGGAGTGGCATTTGGAAACTGCCATTTTATAAGGACACACAGCTGGGGGTTTTATTCAGCTTCTACTTCCAGCTTTCAGAGGAACCTGTGCCTTCTGAAAGCCTCACACAGACAGAGTTCAACACTGAGATGCGACGATAGCCAGGAATGATGTCAAGCCAGTTTTCCCAAAGAACATGCATGAGCAGAGCATCATCATTCCAGCCGCCATGAGATCCTAACTTGACCCTGTGCAGGGCTCAGAGGGTACTGCTGCTCCAACCACAGAAAGCCCTGCATGGCATACTTATTTCCATGATCTCAGGCCCACTTTTTTGTGACAATCTGTGCATGTCAAGAGATATGTGCAATAATCAAATGAAATAAACCACCCAATTCTTAGAATTGGAACAAGGTTTAGATAATTAAGACTGACTTAGCACCCCTGTATCTAGAACACTGCACTAGCAAGTGTAGGGGTAAGAAAACAGATACCCTGCCATCAAGGAACTTTGATCAATGTGGAGAGAGACCGTATAAAATAACACACACTCATTTAGCACTATATCAACTAAAGCCAATCAAAGAACAAAATGAACAGGAGCAAATAGGGTATATCCAGAGTAGATGAGTCTAGTCCAACCGGACGGAAGTGAAAATGCCTTCCTGAGACTGATTTGTACCCATAGGTAATGCTCCTTGCTGGCCACCAGATACTTCAGCATGTCTTTATTAAGATGATCAAATTCACAAGGACTGAGGGCAGAAAAGTTTAGGGTTTATCACGTCCTTTTGAAAAGTCACACATAAATTGAGTTTTTTCACAAATAAATTGATTTTTTTATGAGAACTGATATATTAAAGGTGCTACCTCTTGGAAAAAAATTGAAAATCTTGTATTGAAAAACTTTTTATAAAAATAACATGCTTGTTGTCTGCTATTTTTGTGGCTTTCATCATATTGTGTGTTCTTAAATCAGATACACTAATGTGGGTATGAACTTTTGTTTATCAAAAGCTAACAGGAAATCCGACTATCTTACCTTTGAAAAGGGTCCTGCAAACCGCCATAAGCCATTAAAGCCAAAACCTGCAACAAATCAAATGGGCATCTTTTACTGGTTAACAGACTTTCAGTAAGTTGGATAGTCGCTATGTAAACACTGAAACGTTTTAGAATGAGTGTCAAAGCAGGCTAAAACCTACTTGAAATGCACTTAGTATGTGCATATTTTAATTTTAAATTAAATTTAAATTTTAAATTTAAATTTTATGTGCATATTTTAATTTTAAAAAGCTGTCAATCAGTTATTGTATTGAATATGTAGTTAAGAGAGTCAGAACATGGCCTGTGGAGAGAGACAGAGGAAGGAGCCTCTCGCTTGGAAAGAACTCTGCAGTCAGGGCATGTACAGCTGCGCACCCCGCCAGCTCATCAACCGCCCTTCTCCCACTACACTCATTTACTTTGCAGGTAAGACGTCTGGTACTGTGGAGGGGATTCTTCATGATACACCACACTCTGCACGATTCCATGGATTGGATTTAACAGATTTGGGTCTTGGCACAATGACAACAGGGTGTTGATCTTAGAGTCCAGCAAATTGTGCCTAAAAAAATGAATCAACAGAGGAACACTTCAGAGGGAAATTAAATGAAGAGATACACTAGAAAAACATAATATACACTCCCCAGACAATGTGGCAAGGGTGAGGCGAGATGAGTGCTTTTTGCTCCTGGGGCTTTCCTGTAGTGTGTGTGTGTGTGTGTGTGTATGTGTGTGTATGTGTGTATGTGTGTATGTATGTGTGTGTATATGTGTGTGTGTATGCTTTTCTGGCTTGTCTTTTGCTTTGTTTTTAGTTATCAAGGAAAATACGGTAAAAACAAATTACTAGGAGTGCCTAACTACAGATGGTGAGTATTTGTTCAGGATCAGTTTGGCTTCTGTCTGCTCCTTGGCATGCATTGGAAGCATCTCTTTCTGCTGTTGATATGTATCCAGACAGTTAAAACTGAATGTGGTAACAATCAGCGCTTACTCTCAGAAAGAATAAGGAAAGGAAAATTCACTGGGAAGGGATGGATTATACTTGTGTGATCCAAATGAAACTTAGGAAGAAATTAACTATTTCTAACCTGGCTATACTGCATGAATAAAAATAATTGAAATCCAAATAAAAAATTCTAAAGTTTTAAAATGAAATTAACCTCACATAAGGAAATAGTTACACAGAAGGCCTAGATCAGGAACAACATTTCCCACTTTTGTTGGACCTATTTAAATGTGAACACTTTAACATTACCTCAGCCCTAAATAAAAAATAAAATTCACCTCCTACAAAGGAGGGTAATCTTGTTTTTGTCCAACTGTGTATGAATTCAAATGCTCTACTAAAAAAACAAAAACAAACAAACAAACAAAAAAAACCAAAAAAACCCAGACAGGTATGCTGAATTAAACACGCAAACCCACTTGTTTGTTCCTGTAAGGAAAATGAACAATGCTCATCAAGATGAACCACTTAGGGGCCAGCGCTGTGGCGTAGTGGGTAAAGCCTCTGCCTGGGACACTGGCATCCCATATTGGCGCAGGTTTGAGACCCGGCTGCTCCACTTCCAATCTAGCTCTCTGCTATGGCCTGAGAAAGCAGCGGAAGATGGCCCACATCCTTGGGCCCCTGCACATGGGTGGGAGAACTGGAAGAAGCCTCTGGCTCCTGGCTTTGGGTCGGCTCAGCTCCATCCATTGTGGACAACTGGAGAGTGAACCAGTGGATGGAAGACCTCTCTGTAACTCTGCCTCTCAAATAAATACATCTTTAGAAAAAACAAAAAAAAAAAAAAAAAAAAAAAAAAAGAAAAGATAAACCACTTGAACAAATCAAGATAAAAGAAATATTTTCCTAATAGGCCTAAACTAGTCTTAGCTACCATTAAACCCACCATCTCTAAGCTAAAATTTCCAACTAATGGACATTACTGGGTAATAATTCCTAGCCCTTTATAGAACATCTGACTTACAGACAAAAAGGTCAATTAAAATAAAAGGACATACTTACACAACAGGAAAAACTTTGGGGAATACCACACTGGCCTCTGCTAAGTACGCATAAAGAATTCGTTGATCAAACTCATCCGTGGTATATTTTACCAGAGTAGCCTGCCACAACACAACCAAAGTAAGTAAATAACATGTTCACTCTGTGGATGAATTGTTATCTGTTTTGGTGAGAAGCAGAAAACATCTTTCTTTCATGTTTTTTAATTTTTAAGGGCCTGCTAGTCATAGTTTCGAATAAAAATTTGAGCAGGGAAAAAAATCCAGAACTCAAAAAAGGAAGTTCCTTACTAGAACGGTAAGAAGGAGCGCTTGTATCTTCGGATCAGTCAGCACTTCTTCATCCAAGAGAGCATTCGATTCCGACATGGAAACCTTACATAAATGCGGGTGCTGCTGTGCGGAGGAAATCCTTGGAGTTTCTGCAGTAAGATGTGGAATGACACGATCAGCTGTATTACTGAACACCTGCATAATCAACTCACTGAACACATTTTAATGGTACTTGTAAAATTCAGTAGCTTCTTAATAGACACTTAATATCAACATAAGCATCTTAATATTCATTCATTCAAAAAATTTTGCTAGCTGTTTATAATGCTGAATAAATATATACAACAGTTTTTACACGGGCTTCAGGATAACTGTCATTTCAAGGACTGCTGCAGAGTTTATATTTTGAAAAAGAAAAAAAATGCTTCTATCTTCCATCTTAAAGAGTCGGTTGGAAGTCAGCATAGTCCCCTCCTTGTTTCAATGATCTTTATCAGTATTAACTTTGTGTCTCACCCATTTCATAATCAGTCTCTGCTACTCTCCTCATTTTGGGGGGTGTTGTCATCCCTGATTCCATTTCTTGCCTTTTAGGAGCCTTTGTGTCTGATATCAAGTGATCAAAACTTTTCCTTGTTCCTATAAACAGAAGTTACAGAACATGGAAATGGAAATTTATTAACCACAGTGTGTAAGGAACATACTAAAAAGAACAAGTTTTGACATAAAGAGCATGAGTTTTCACCAAAGGACCCCAAGAAAGTTCAGACAGCTCCCCGGGGGCAGTTTCCTCCTTTCTTCTCCATCTTCTCCAGGGACCCCCCCCAACTCCACCCCAACCCCCAGCTTTCCATTTCCGGATGGGATGTGTATCTCATTGGTCCACATTAAACTGATGACATTTACCACACTGTAGTTAAATCAGAGACTTCACCAACGAGAACAATGGCTGATACAGGGACATGCACTGCTCAATGGCAAAGACAAACCATGTCTCAAGAGCCATCTCAGTTTAAGAAATTCTGCTGGTGTCAAGAATTACTCAAAAAATGTAGGAGTATTTCCAAACTTGGGCAAAATCAAAGTCTAGTATGAGTCCTTCAAGCTTGATAAAAAAATGTGCTCACCTAAAAGTCCTGAATAGACACAATGTGAAATGCCTCAAGCAAGCAGTGCACCTCCTGCTTGGCTCTGAGCTTCTCTAATCACATATTATATTAATATTAAATACTTTTATCTAAAGTAAAAGTACTGAAATTGGATTATTTGGTACTTAACACATTTCTGTTCTTTATAGTCAAGGAATTTCTCTGAGAAAATTTTTTCTATAAAAATCTGGAATACTTTAAAAATATATTTATTATTTATCTGAAAGGTAAAGGTATAGCAACAGAGGAGAGAAAGAGAGAGAGAGAAAGATCTTCCATGTGTTGGGTCATTGCCCAAATATCCATGACAGCTGGGATTCAGCTAGGCCAAAGCCAGGAGGAACTCTGTCTGGTCTCCCACACAGGTAGCAGGAATCCAAATACTTGGGCCATCATCTGCTGCCTTCCAAGGCACAGTAGCAGGAAGCTGGATGGGAAATGAAGCAGCTGGAACTCAAACCAGCATTCCGATTTGGGATGCTGGCATTGCAGGCATCAGCTTAGCTCACTGTGCCACAGTGCTGGCTCCTGAAATGCCTTAACAGTATTCTTTTTGAAAAGGAAGAACTGAAGCCAATATCATAAAATCTGACAACTGAATCTTGAAAAATATACTAACCTCAAGTATAGTACTCACAACAGTCATAAATATCAAGGTCAAATAACTTAACCTGAAAGGATAAAGTCTTCTTCATTTCATGCACATGCAAACTGAAGGAGCCACAGGCAGCTGATTAGCTTCAAGCTGCATGGCTAGGGATCCAGTTAATGACCAGACTGGAAACTCAGATTTTCTGCAAAACCAAGTCATGCTTTCCACACTGCATGAGAACAGAAATAGCACTCTCCATCCTTCTCACTCTTTATTTTACTTCCTGCATTCTTCCTGGGAGATCCCTTTCACTCCCACAATTTCAACTCTCTAAGAACCAATCAATTTTAATGTGCCACGCATTTGCTTCTCTCTTTCTGAATTCCATATGCATCTCTTCATTTCTCTTGCACATATACTCCTAGATATCCTGAAGGAATTTCAACAACACTACCAAGCAACCTAAACTGATCATGTGATAGACACGTCAGCCGTTCTCTGGGAATGGAATCACCATGCAGCCAGTTTTGAAGCTGCGCACTTACGGCAGCCATCCCTGCATGACCGTACATCAGGCACGAGGTCTTGTCCTTTCTGTATCAGAATCCTAACCCAAACCTGACTGTTCTCAATCCTCCCAGCCCTCCTGTGGACCCAGGCCCCCTTTTTTGCTTGGATTGCTGGATCAGTCTCTTAAATGGTCCCTTCTCCAAAAATCTCTTCTTATTTCTCCACATTGTTGCCAGAAACCCTTAAGAAAAAATAAACTAGGTTCAGTTCTTCCCCTTAAAGATCTTCACTGGATACACGACGAGGCTACAAGTTGTAACATGACATGCAGTCTATTACAATCGAATTCCTATTCCTCTTTAGCCTCATTCCCTGCCCCACTCCCAAGGATGCTATGATCTATTGCCAATTGCTTTCCTAACTTTTAGAAGTGCATGTGGTTCCTCCTCTCTTGAATACAGCCCTACCTTATCCTGTGTTTACTTGGCAAGCACGTACTAAATCTTCAACCCAGCTCACACGTTATCTCCTCTCTGCAACCTCTAATTTCCCTACCAGCACAGATCACATTAATGGCATGTAGGGGATGCTGTTGATTGGCTGAGAATAAGCCTCAGCCCCAAACCATAAAGGCTTTTTCACCTACCACATGGGGTGAATGAATTCAATACTGCATTTCTCTTAGGCTACTTATTCACTAACAATTTACTTAACATAAAAATCCAGACTGCCACAATACAAAGTAACCAGGAAACTCCAAGATCATTATTTACAGCAAAGTAATAACAGAAAGGAACCCAAACAAAAGGTAATAGGCCTCAGTGACAAGTAACAGTGACTAACATTTGTAGTTTCTGTTTCCACTGTGTTGCTTGTTCACTAACATTCGTATGCACACATTACCCATACTATTTCAAGACACTTAAATCTGCCTGCACTGACCACTGAACGCCACAGAGCCACTTCCAGTGGTGGTCACTGAACTACGGATCTCAGTGCCTTCCAGCAACAAGGAGAAGGCTGGGCAGTGGGACACAGAGCGCCTCTGCGTTTCTCTGTGCTGCAAGATGGGATCCGAGGGCTCTTTCATTCATTTCCTTTCAGTTACTGAGATGGGAAAGCGTCTCGCAGCATTTTAGGCATCCTTCTCATAGACAAACGTTGATGTTGCAGAGCAATCTGAAGTTTCAAGAGTCCTATCTTCTTCAAGAAATTGAAAAGTATGCTGTGCTACCTTTCTGCCTTTTCAAAGAAAACACAGCAAATTACATTACTACAGCTTCATACCATATTGATGCATTTTGCTCTCAAATGATAATTTTTGGAAGTACTATATCATTAATGACTCTGAAGTAAGAGGCTTCCTATCTTGCAAGTATCTAGTATCCTACTCCCATTTCCTATTGCCCAACTAAGGCAGGAAAAAAAAAAGCTATAATATTTAGACTAAGAATCAGGAAAAGTCTGTTTCAAGGCCCAATTCTCATCTCAACTGGAACAGCTTAACTGATCTGTCAAACTCTTTGTAACTTGCATCAAAAACTTTGCTACACAAAACCAAAAAACCTTGAGGCTGGCATTGTGGCGCAGGAAGTTGTTGCTGCCTACAACATCGGCATCCCACGTAAACACTGGCTCAAGTCTGCTGCTCGATTTCTCATCCGGCTTCCTACTAATGTACCTGGGAAAGCAGTAGAAGATGGTCCAAATACAAAGTGGGAGACCTGGATGGAGCTCCAGGTTCCTGGCTTTAGCTTGGCCCAACCCCGGCCATTGTGGCCAACTGGAGAATGAACCAGCGGATGTTAAGGTTTCTCTGTCTCTTCTTCTCTCTCTCTAAATAAATCTTTAAACAACAAGGAAAAAAGAAAACCAATAACACTGAATAATTTCCAATAATTTTTCTAGAGTGAAAGTATCTCATCATTTTTAAAAATAGTAAGAAGAACTTCTATATAATTTAAACTAACCAAGCAATTTCTTAGTGTTAGCCTGAGAAGGCTGCCCCATATCCAAGCTCATGGATTTCCTGGCTCGGGGACTGGTCTGTCCCACAGTTGGATAGGTGGCTGTCAGATGCCCTTCAGAACCTTTGGGAGAGGACCATGGCTGATTCTCCTTTAGTGTCCTGAGAGATTTAAACAAAGAAGAAGAACTGATTAACATGTTACAAATACAACCATTGATGCCCCTTCAAGTGGCTGTCTTATTTCTCAGTGACAACGATCAGTTAATTTAAAAACTGTACTTTAAAGGGTTTTACAGTACAAACTCAGTGCATCCCCAGCAAGTATCAACTTTCTTGCCATTGTGCGTCATACACAGTAGGCACTCGTCAAATGCTGAACAGAAAGAATTGTACTACACTGTGTTTTGTTTTTTTTTTTTTTTTTTTTTTGGACAGGCAGAGTGGACAGTGAGAGAGAGTGAAAGGTCTTCCTTTGCCGTTGGTTCACCCTCCAATGGCTGCTGCGGCCGGTGCGCTGTGGCCAGCGCATCGTGCTGATCCGAAGCCAGGAGCCAGGTGCTTCTCCTGGTCTCCCATGCGGGTGCAGGGCCCAAGCACTTGGGCCATCCTCCACTGCACTCCCGGGCCATAGCAGAGAGCTGGCCTGGAAGAGGGGCAACCGGGACAGAATCCGGCACCCCAACCGGGACTAGAACCTGGTGTGCCGGTGCCGCAAGGCGGAGGATTAGCCTATTGAGCCACGGCGCCGGCCTACACTGGTTTTTAAAAATTATTTTTAAGTTGAAAAATAAAAATTGTGTATATTCATGCTGTACAATATATTTTGAAATAGGCATACATTATGGAAAAGCTAAATCAAGCTAAATGACATGTACATTATCTCACAAACAATATTTATTTGTGGTGAGAACAATGAAAATGTATTCTCTGAACAATTTAAAGTATAGAATACATTTGTTATTAACTATAGTCACTATACTGTAGTATAACATATCTTGTGAATTCACTAGACAGCTTTTTTTAAAAAAATTTTTTGAAAGGCGGAGTTACAGAGAAAGAGAGATCTATCCATTGGTTCACTCCTCAAATGGCCACAATGGCTGGGATGGGGTCAGGCCGGAGCCAGGAGCCAGGACCTTCTTCCAGGTCTCCCATACGGAGGCAGGGGCCTAAGTACTTGGGCCATCCTCCACCGCTTTCCCAGATGCATTAGCAAGGATCTCAATCAGAAGTGGAGCAGAAAGGACACAAACTGGTGCCCAATACAGGATGCTGGTGCTGCCGGAGGCAGCTTTACCAACAATGCCACAGTGCTGGCTCCAACTGCACTGCTTTTTTAATCAGAGAAAATCAAGTCAAAGTAGGCCACAGTATTCTTGGTTTAAAATCCAGAAAATCTGGGGCAGGCATTTAACCCAGTGTCATTGATGGATGCCTGTCTCCAACGAGGAAGGACTGGGAAACGAATATTTTTGTCTGCTTCCTGAGTCTGCTTTCTTGTTAAGACACACCCTGGAAGGAGGAATGATGCATAAAGTAATTGGGTTCCTGCCACCCATGTGGGAGACCTGGATTGAGTTCCTGGCTCTCATCTTTGGCGGCAGTTCAGTCTTGGTCATAGTGGACATTTGATGAGTAAATGAACAGATGGGAGCTCTCTCATTCTGTTTGTCTCTCTCTACTTTTTAGTGGAGGGCTTTTTATTAAAAGGCAAGATGTTAATAATAAATATACGCAGAAGACTCCTTTGTATGTTCAACACAGTGCTTAAAGATATACTGGTTTAGGGGCCGGCACTGTGGTGCAGCGGGTTAACACCCTGGCCTGAAGTGCTGGCATCCCATATGGGAGCTGGTTCAAGACCTGGCTGCTGTACTTCTGATCCAGCTCTCTGCTATGGCATGGGATAGCAGAAGATGGCCCAAGCCCCTGGGCCCCTGCACCCATGTGGGAGACTCGAGGAGGCTCCTGGCTCCTGGCTTCAGATTGGCGCATATCTGGCCATTGCGGCCAACTGGGGAGTGAACAATTGGACGGAAGACCTCTCTCTCTCTCTCTCTCTGTCTCTCTCTGCCTCTCCTCTCTCTGTGTAACTCTTTCAAATAAATAAATAAATAAATCTTTTAAAAAGAGATATATTGGTTTGGGGGCCAGTGCTGTGGTGTAGCAGGTAAAGTCGTTGCCTGCAGTGCCAGCATCCCACTTTTTTGAGTTCCAGCTATTCCACTTCCAATCCAGCTCTCTGCTGTGGCCTGGGAAAGCAGTAGAAGATGGCCCAAGTCCTTGGACTTTTGCACCTGAGTGGGAGACCCAGAAGAAGTTCCAGGCTCCTGGCTTTGGATTGGTCCAGCTCCAGCCATTGCAGCCATTTGGGAAGTGAAACAGTGGATGGAAGACTTTTCTCTCTTTCTCTGCCTCCGCCTCTCTCTGTAACTCTTTCAAATAAATAAATCTTTTAAAAAAATCTATAATAAGTTTAAGTTTCCATCATTAAGCATATATTATTGTTTGTAGTCCATGTTGGTTTTGGGAAAAAACCTAATACTTTCAAGGTCACCTTTTTCATCATTCAGCAGGTCTGTGGTTAACAGAAGCAGACTAACATAAACATTAGCACAATTAGACTAGAAGAAGGCAGCTTTCCTACTACTAGCTCACATACAATACTGAACACTTCTACAGTAGGTTGTGACTTATTCTTCCTAGACTATCTCTATATTCCTCCCAAACAACCTTCTAGATCACTCTGATACTTGCCTCCTTAGCACGGAAACTTGAAACCTGATTATAGTTACATAGTTATGGGAGAGCAAGCCCACTCACCTGTAGCTGGGATCACCATGATGAATGGGATATGTGTCCATAGGAACATTTTCCATTGAAATATCAGTAAGAAGAAGTGACTGTCTATGTTTTAAGCTGAAACGACCTCGAACCTCTTCAGACACTGTGAGTAAAGCTAAAAGGAAAAAGAGGGTAAATTTAACAAATAACAAGTTTCACTTCACACAGAGGATATACTTCTCACATGCTAGTAAAGAGGATACCTGTTAAAAGGCTGAAAACAACTCTAGACAGTGTGAGGTTTCTCTGGAAAGGTTTATAATCTGTGTAGACTGTACAATAGCCATGAGATACACAAAGAAATTTACTAAGCACCTTACTTTTTTCAAGAGCTTTAATGCACATTTGATTCGAACAAACACAAAGAGTCGGCAGGCCGGGCATTGTTAAGCCCACTTAGCCATTACGTGATTTGGTCAAGGTCATATGGCTCCAACAAAAAGCTGCCACATGGAAATTTGCTAAACTAAGAACCAGTACTTTGTGTAGAACAATTACGTTCTGAATTATACTATACATTCTGAACTGTATTATACATAACTGTTGCATGAGCAGAGAAACCAAAATCAGATAAAAGCCAATAGGAATGGTCTAATGGGACAGTAGGGATGGCAAAATGGTATAAGGAATGAATACTGAAGATGCATGAAGTCACTTGTAGGTGATGGCAAGGAGACTGGTTTAGAATAGCCTACCCATATAGCAAAGCAATAAAAAATAAGGCTTGTGAAACTGAGATAGAGAGGACAGAATTAGGAGGGTGGCTTAAGAGCCCAGGACGCTAGGCTGAGATGTCCAGATTTTATGTCAGACAATGGGGAGCTATTGTCATATCTTAAACCAAGAATGGCAAAGAGAATATTTCAGATTAATGTCAACTCTTTCATAAGGAAAAAGGTTCAGATAGAACTTAAAAAATTTTAAACACTACTAAAGGACAGTCAATATCTGTACCTTTTGGTGATTCTTAGATAGACATGGTAAATTTTATCTATTCTGTGTTTTTACCTGCTAAGTAAGCCACACTCTGCGTATTCACCTCAAACTTGTCACAGTTTCTGTGTTTGTTAACCAAAGTTAGTAGTGTATGCAAAATTCTGACTGTTCTTGCAACAATAGCAGGTGAAGGATGTCTGTACCCTACAGGGGAAAAAAATCAAAACAAGGTTATTCTATGAACAGGAATTTTTTCATTCTTATTCTGTGATTAGCAATTCTGCAAGGGAAATTAAGTATAAGAGATAATTCATACCTACACAAAACAGCCTCCTGAAAAGGTAAAACATATATATGTGAATAATTAATTACATATAGGATTAAGTACCTAAAATGTACAGAACAGAATAATGTCCCCTGAGACTTTAAGGTTCCTCAGGGGGAAGAAAATGAGGAAAGATAACAGTGTTTCAGGTCTTCCATCCCTAATGCAGCACAGGGACTTAAAAATACATACATACACACACCCACCCACCCACCCACACACACACACACACAGGAGTTCCCCGTAAGATTTCTTCTGAAAGTAGGGTTCTTTTGCTTAAAAATGTCTTTTTTTTTTTTAATTAAAACACTAATGACAAAGGAAGAATGTATGTACTAAGTGTTCAAAGAATAGAGTTAATTACAGGGTAAGTTTGACCTCTTAACAGCTTTTCTTTTTTTAATATTTCTTATTTATTTATTTATTTGAGAGGTAGAGTTACAAGCAGAGAGAGGGAGAGAAAGAAAGAAAGGTCTTCCATCTGCTGGTTCATTCCCCAAATGGTCACAAAGGCTTGGGCTCCTTGTACTGCTTTCCCAGGCCATAGCACAGAGCTGGATAGGAAGAGGAGCAGCCAGGACGTGAACCAGCACCATACTGGATGCCTGCACTACAGGTGGAGGCTTAGCCTATGGCACCACAGTGCCAGCTCCCTCTTAACAGCTGTTAATCACTAATGCTACTCTATTTTAGAATAGGAGATTTCAACACTGAACTTATCTAGTATTCCACAAATACAGAAAAAGCAATCAGGTTTGTCAGCTGCCATCCCTTGTTTTGGTATCCTCAAGTAAGTGTAGTTTCTCTTGAGCAATCTCTCTTCACCACAGAGATTAAAATTCAATTAAAAAATTTCATAAGAAGGTAAAATTAAATGTATACCCTTGTAGGTGGGAGATGTATATACACATACACCAGTTAAAAACTGGAAGAACAAGGCAGGTGTTTAGCCTGATGGTTAAGATGCTGGTATCCTGTATAAGAGTGCCTGGGTTTGCTACCCAGCTCTGGCTCCTGACTTAGGCTTCCCGCTAATGCAGACCCCAAGAAGGCAGTATATAACAGCTCAAGTAACTGGGTCACTGCCACCTATTTGGGAGACCTAGATTGGCCCAGTTACTGAGTTACTGGCTACCAGCTTTTTCGAGCCCAGACCCAGTCATTATAAGTGATTGGAGAGTGACCCAGAGGATGGGAGCACTCTCTTTCTCTTTGCCCCTAAAATAAACAAAGTGAATGGACCTCCATGATTCCTCAAGCTCAAGAATGATGTTGAATTCATATAAAACTGCAGACTCAAGCTCTACCTTGACATCATGCTGTCAATGATCTACCACTATAAGCTGACTATATGCTGTCCCTGTTAAGCACAATTGCCGTCCATGACTGCCCCATGTTAATAAACCAAAGCTATTTGAGCCGGCGCCGTGGCTCAATAGGCTAATCCTCCACCTTGCGGCGCCGGCACACCGGGTTCTAGTCCCGGTCGGGGCGCCGGATTCTGTCCCGGTTGCCCCTCTTCCAGGCCAGCTCTCTGCTATGGCCAGGGAGTGCAGTGGAGGATGGCCCAGGTGCTTGGGCCCTGCACCCCATGGGAGACCAGGAAAAAGCACCTGGCTCCTGGCTCCTGCCATCGGATCAGCGCGCTGCGCCGGCTGCAGCGGCGGCCATTGGAGGGTGAACCAACGGCAAGGGAAGACCTGTCTCTCTCTCTCACTGTCCACTCTGCCTATCAAAAAAAAAAAAAAAAAAAAAAAAAAACCAAAGCTATAAGCTGTGGAGTCAGCAATGGGAGTAAGGCCAGATCAGGAGGTGAATGAACTCTGAGGAACAGCTGGAGATCTCTGACTTTAAGCAACACAGAAATCTGGAGGGGTTGGGGCATGGTACCAGAAAGGTGAAGTTTTATGGTATTTAATAATGGTATTGATACACTGTAAACTAGAAATGGGCTGAAGAAAATCTGTTACCAAATCTCTAAGATAACATTTTCCAACATAAATTAATCAAACTAATACACTGACTTGCATTCTGTCTTATTTGATAATCAGTAAGATACTTTAAGTATTGTTACTAAGAGTACTGCAATTAGGCTCAATACTTAGGGACTTTATAACCTTCAACTCTCTAGCATTTTTAAGGAAATCTGATTATTTGCTATGGGAATTAAACTCTATTAAAATACACACTGACTAAAACATAACTCAATGAGACACATAGTTTCATTTAAAGTAAGACACATGAACTAAATATTTCAATTTATTTCAAGAAATAAGTTATTTTAATTACTCTGGCTTCTTGATACTATTTCATACAAATACTCTTTAACTTTTTTTTTTTTTTTCATTTTATTTGAAGGGCAGAGAGACAGGGAAAGAGAGAGAGATCTTCCATATACTGGTTCACTCCCTAAATGCCTCCAATAGCCAGTACTGGGCCAGGCTGAAGCCAGGAGCCCAGAGCACCATCCAGGTCTCCCACATGGGCGGCAGGGACCCAAGTACTTGAGCCATCATCTACTGCCTCCTAGCATGTGCATCAGTAGGAAGATGGGACATAAGTGAGGGAGCCAAGACTCAAACCAAGCTCTCCAACATGGGATGGAGGAATCCCAAGCAGTGACTTAACCCCTGCATCAAACACCAGCCCCACAAAATATTCTGATATACAGAGCCTCTACCTTTTAAGAGGTGTCCAACCAGTGCAAAATTAAAGTTGGAGTTGAAATTGAGTCCAACAAAATGATCCATTTGCTTGCAGTGCCATTCCAGAGGATTCCGGATTGCCATAAATACTTCTTCTGGACTCTATTAAAGACAACCATAACATGGTTAATGGGGTTCACACAGAACCTTTTAAGGATCACTTACTGGTTTTAATGTTCAACAGGTATGACAAGATAAGTAATTCCCTTGAATTGAGAGAAATTATTGTAGGTTTTCTACAGAAAACCATTGAACATTTAAGGTTATATGAATTAATTAGTGAATTAATTAGTACAAAATCATCAGGCATTTAATAAGATGGTATAAGATAAAATTGCCTTGATTTACAAAACCAACTTATTTTTCCAATTTACTTCCTGATACTTTTTTTTTTAAAGATTTATTTATTTTATTTGAAAAGCAGAGTTACAGAGAGGCTGAGGCAGAGAGAAAGAGAGAAAGAGAGAGAGAGAGAGGTCTTCCATCCACTGGTTCACTCTCCAGATGGCCACAATGGCCGGAACTGCATGGATAAAAAGCCAGGAACCAGGAGCTTCCTCCAGGTGTCCCACGTGGGTGCAGGACCCAAGGACTTGGACCATCTTCCACTGCTTCCCCTGGACATAGGGGATGCCAGCACTGCAGGCAGCAGCCCCTTCCTGGTATCTTTTAATCAGCTTTATTAATTGGTTCCTAGCATACTGGGTCACTGAGCCAATATCAGTACCTCCTACCAGGATTTTCTGGCACTGAAAATGCTATGGTAGACACTACAAAGATAAAAATACTCACCTGCAAATAGGCTTTTTTTTTTTTTTTTAAGATTTTATTTATTTACTTGAGAGGTAGGTTATGGACACAGAGAGGGAGAGATAGAGAGAAAGGTCTTCCACCTGCTGGTTCATTCCCCAAATGGCCACAATGGCCAAAACTGGGCCAATCCAAAACCAGGAGCCAAGAACTGTCTCTGGGTCTCCCACACAGGTGTAGGGGCCCAAGTGCTTGGGCCGTCTTCCACTGCTTTCCCAGGCCATAGCAGAGAGCTGGACTGCGAGAGGGGCAGCCAGGACATGAATTGATGCCAATACAGGATTCCAGCGCTTCGGGCAGAGGCTTAACCTACTACGTCACAGTGCCGGCCCCATGCAAATATTCTTAACATACAAACAGCTAACAGGCATGTATCACTCTAACACTGTCCTATGACAACTTCACAAAAAAGCAATGGGAATAGGAAAGAGGGGTTCTAATCCCAAACCAAATGTACAAACATGGACAAGTCACTTAACTTCTGTGTTCTTTTCTATCGTGTGGGATGGAGTCTGACTACCAATGAACTAGGCAGCTTCCACCTCTGGACTTTCGCTTACACATTTCCAGACCTTCAGCTACTTGGTCCACACCACGTCTGGCAGACTGAACGAACACTGTCTAGAGCGAGCATCTTCACACGCAGACTATGGCCCTGCTCCCTCTTCCCTGCCCACAGCTGAGGTGACTCACTTCAGGCACACTCCTCGTCACATACATAGCCTGTCTTTAAAAAGAATTCCTCTCTTTTCTGCTAGACTCTAATTTTCTTCAAAAATAAAAGGAACATAATTTCATACTACTTTATTCTCTTCTGTATACTCTATGAACCAAAATCTAATGCCAATCAAGGTGGATAAGTGTTAAAAAGCCATTTATTTTAAAGTTAGATAAGGCAAAAGAAGAAACCCTAGTAAAATTCAGTACCCGAAAGTTCCCTTTAGACTCTCCAGCTTCCGCATCTGGTATTAATTACATCAGGTTTTCATTACGTAGCATTATGCACTGAAAATAAGCTTATTTTTAGATTAACTCTTCATTTGTGAGATGCGGGGTAGAGAATGTTAACCTGTATCTTGGGGTGGTGAAAATTAAAAATAGTACCTATTGTGGTAGCCATTATGGCCAGTCAGTATTATTTTTCTTTATTCTATTTATTAGTGTCAAGCCAGTACTTATTTATTTATTTACTTATTTTGCTATTTTTATATAGAAAACACACATTAAAGTCCAGTTCTTAATGAGTTGGTAAGGAACCATATTCACAATAAATCACATTATGCAAATTCACACCAGTAAGCTATGGATCTCTTCTGTTTTTAACAGAGCCACCACAATAAAAGAGGGCTGAGTGTTCAATGCGAGCCAGCGAGGAATCCAAGGGAAAGCTTGCTTACCTTGTCATTGAATATCCGGAGACTATCCAGGGTGTGCAAGTTTTGTTCAAGAAGAGCAGTGCCTGCTGAATACAAGTTGACCTCATCGAGCTGCAGCACGGCCACAGCTACCCAGAAGAGGGCTTTGTGTAGAGGGGAGTCCTGGCAAAGGAGTCACAAGCCAGGTCAGTAAGGGGAACCGTGGGAAACCCGCGTTCTGACACACCGCAGTCTAAAGCAAGCATGTGGCTTCACCCAGTCACCCAGGCTTTCCCCTTTGGGAAGGCAGTACAAAAAATAAACCTGTGTGCAAATAAACACAGGTAGCTGCGCAGAGAGCCTCAGTGTTTGCTTTGCTCTCTCCCTGTTCTGGATTCCCAAATCCAGTCAACAAGGTTTGCTGACTCTTTAAGAAGCCTTTTGCATCTGCTATTTCTTTCTTTTTGCTAACAGTGCTTTACCATGCTGCTCTTTATTCTAAATGTTCAATTTTTTTTTGCCTCCAGCTTCTTCCTCACTGTGCAGTCCATCACCAGAAGGTGTATTTCTTCTGGAAGAAAATGGTACGTTGGCCGGTGCTGCAGCTCACTAGGCTAATCCTCTGCCTGCAGCACCAGTACCCCGGATTCTAGTCCCAGTTGGGGTGCCACTTCTGTCCCGGTTGCTCCTCTTCCAGTCCAGCTCTCTGCTGTGGCCCAGGAAGGCAGTGGAGGATGGCCCAGGCCCTTGGGCCCTGCACCCCCATGGGAGACCAGGAGAAGCACCTGGCTCCTGGCTTCGGATAGGTGCAGTGCGCCCGGCTGTAGCAGCCATTTGACGGGTGAACCAATGGAAGGAAGACCTTTCTCTCTGTCTCTCTCTCACTGTCTAACTGCCTGTTAAAAAAAAAAATGGTATGTTCCCAAACTCTTTTCTGAAGAATGCTGAATGTTCTGTTAGTTCTAGCCAATCTTTAAAACGTTCCCTCCTGCTATTCTCTTGGAAAGTTGCCCCTTACATCAGAGTGCTCTGCCCACCAGCCCTCCTATGCCTCGGCTTTCTCAGTACTCCCACTGCTCCACCTTGGCTACTCAAGGTTTCCCCCCTTTCTCTCTACCTGCATTAACTCCTACCCACATCCTTAACTACAGCTTGAATTCTACCCTTTCAAGAACTCGTCACTTCTGGCAGTAATCTGTTGTTGGTCTGAATTTGATCCTTATTTAGGAGAAAATCCGTGGACTTCAGAGCTAGTCAGCCTTGACTTAAAATCATGGCTCTGCCTTTCATCAGGTATGCACCCCTGGGGACAAGCTACTGAGTCCTCCTGGTCTCATTTTCACTTATAAGATGTGGATAAGAGAACCATTTTATATGATTTAAGATTAGAATGTTTGTAGAACACATCACTCTACCAGGAACACAATAACTATTTATTTCTCTGTAAGCTTTCCCAAGATTTGCATCTTTTGAATTCAACTCACAGAAATTAAACATTATCTCATTTTAGTTTACTCATTTTACTCATTTTATCAATGTGGAAACATTCACATAACTTTAATGACCTGCTCGAGGTGACAAAGCTGAGATGAGCACAGACTAACCTACAACAGTGGCCATGGTATTTCACACCTTTAAAATAACATTTTAACTTAGTATCCAAACACTTCTGAGAATCAGGTATACCTCTCCCAGCTTCCCATTTCTCCAGAGTAAGGTCACTAACACATCACTAACTCAACACGCCTGCTGCTCATCCGGTTCATCACGTGTCTGCTCCCTAACCTCCACATCCACCCCAGATCGTAAGCTCCAGACAGGCAGGGCGTTATCCCTTTGTTCAGCACTATGTACATCTCCAGCCCCCAGGGCAGTCCCTGGCACATGGCCCATGTTCAGTCAGTGCCTATTAGAAACAAGAATTAAGAATATATCACCTGTATTTCCTTAAGCAACGAGACAAAAAACCTACAAGCAGTTAGAACATACTCTCCATACTTAGTCTTCCTCTACTGTAATTACTTCAAACAACTAAACTTTAGACAAGAAGGTCTACATTATGGCTTTTTTGTTACAATCTCTCCACAATCCATCTTATTTTCTGAATGTGTTGAAAGAAAAGAAATTACACTGAGCACCATAATCCAAAATGAATAAACTAATTTTCTACACAATAATTACCTTATTAAGAAGTGGCTGTAATTTGGTTAGTGCTATTACTGTAGCTTCTATCAGAACTTGACTGTTGTAAGTATCAGGTCCTTTTAAGCAACTCTCAAGTGCCTTTTAGGGAAACAGAATTCTTTATTTTACTTTCATTGAAATAAAACATTAACTCTTAAAGTGAATCTCAGAATCAGCTCAGGAACATTTACTTATTAAGTGCTAGAATTATTTCTAATGCTATGGTGATTGGTGATCTTGGAAGCTTGCTTAATGTACATTTGGTTTCTTATTTTGACGTATTTCTATATTCTAATGTAATAAGACAGGCATTACCACAGAAATTATAAATTATATAACTTTATATGAGGCTATAGTTTTACCACCATATAATTAAATGCTTTGAAAACTAATAATATATTAAGGTTACCTGCTTAGCAAAAGAGGCAAAGTACTTATTTTCTTTTAAAGACATCTTCTTTAGAGAAGATTTCTTCACTTCAAAGAATTACAATAAAGAAAATAATCAAAATCTACTTTTTTAAGGTTTAATAAGCAACATATAAGACATTTTATTAAATTCAAATTTAAGTATCTTTTTAAAGAAAAGTAGATATGCTTTGTAACTTAGAAACCACAATTAATTGGGAGAAGGAAGGGAGAGGTACCTTGCTAAGAATACGGATAATTTGCTTTATCTGGCCATGAGACACTCGTTTGCTAATACAGCCAAAGACAACAAGAGCTCTTGGTTGTAGGGATGGATTATATTGGAATGCAAATCTGTAATGAAAAGATCCAAGGAGCTTAGGAAAATCTTTGTCTTTATATATACTAAATAATAAATTAAAACACTGATTATGCAGTAATCTCTATCTTTTCAACAATTCACACACTTTTACATTTTTTACATTTTCTATTTAATCTGGGACATACCTTTGCGCTAGTTCTGTCCACTGGTCCAGCCACTTGCATGTTGGAATGTCTCTCATACATGCCTAAAAAAAGGATACTCTGAATATATGTGGGGTCTTTGTTCATGGAAATGAGTATTATCTTTTATATTTTATTTTTTCCCCCAAAGATCTTTTCATTTATCTGAGAGGCAGAGACACAGAGAGAGAGAGAGATCTTCCACCCATTGGTTCCTTCCCCAAATGGCTACAATAGCTGGAGGTGGGCCAAGCCAAAGGCAGAAGCCAGGAGCTTCTTCTGGGTCTCCCACATGGATGCAAGGGCCAAGCACTTGGGCCATCTTCCACAGCTTTCCCAGGCACATTAGCAGGGAGCTTGATTAGAATTGGAGCAGAGAGGCCTTGAACTGGTGCCTATATGGAATGCCAGGACAGCAGGTAGCAGCTTAACCTGCTATGCCACAGCACTGGCCCCAAATACTATTTTTTGATTCCATTTTTCCATGCATGTCTTAAAGGCCCTTTGATTTTATATATGTATATGTTTTTAGAAATATTTAAGCAACATTTACTTGTAATATCATTAAATAAACCATATGTGTGTAATCAGTAACAAATTCCATGAAAGTGTTTTTATTTAAGTATTAAATGCAAAACAGCAGAATAAATTAATACTTCTATACAGCACCAGATTTTTAAAAAGCTTCCTAGTTTCTTATCATTTTGTCTTACATACCTCCATGATCTCCAACAAGGCTTCTGTGACTGTTTCCAAAGATGTCAAAGCAAAAGTCTCCCTCTCGTAGGAGCCAGGAGAGAATGACCTGTCCCGGTAACTGGAACGGAAGGCAATGACTGCGGCTGACTTGACTTTGCTAATGCCAAACAGCAAGTAAAATTTTGGCAATGAGAACTCTGTCAGACTGAGTCTCAAAACTTGCTTGGTCTCTTCTGTAGAAGAAAAAAGAAATAAGACTTTGAACACACCAATTTTTAAATTTTAAAGTACTAAGTTTCATTTTGAATACAGTAAATTTAAATATCATATAAAATTACATAGTTGTGTTCTAAATCAAACTTCTAGATAGATTCTATAAATGCTCATTGCTTTAGCCCCATTAAACCACAAATCAATACTAGTACGCTTGATGTTGTACTAGACAGCTTCATCAAAACCAGTACAACATGGTCCAGTTACACTATGTGACAACTTAAGAGGCTCCATAACAAATAGGCTTGGAAAATTTTCACTACAGCTTGACATGGAATGGAAGTAATTTATTCTTTTTTTTCTTGTTAATATTTCATATCATGACTGCAGACTTAAATTAGGACCTTGGGGGCCGGTGCTGTAGCACAGCTGGTAAAGCCACTGCCTGAGAGCCAGCATCCACGTGGACACAGATTTGAGCCCTGGCTGTTCTACTTTGGATCCAACTCTGGGCTAACGTGCCTGGGAAAAACAGTGGGAGATGGCCTAAGTGTTTGGGCCCCTGCACCCATGTGGGAGACCCAAAAGAAGTTCTTGGCTCCTGGCTTCGGCCTGGCTCGGCTTTGGCCCTTTCAGCCATTTGGGGAGTGAACTAGCAGAAGGAAGACCTCTCTCTCACTCTCTCTGTCTCTCCCTTCTTTCTGTAACTCTGCCTTTCAAGTAAATAAATCTTTAAAAAAAATTAGGATCTTGGTGTTAGGCATCATAATTAATAACAATCTACATCAATTAGGTGGGGTAAAGGAAAGGAAAGAACTGGTGAAACACACATTACTGCCCTGAGACTCACCACTAAACTGAAGCTGTGAACAAGTGCACAGAGAGTGGATGATATTGATGACCAGCCCATGTGTGGAAGCTCTCAGCGAGAGTGGGCCAGTGGCCACTAAGAACGTCACGACGTGGAAGAGGTAGGGGAGATGAGCTGCCACATCGAGGGAGTTGTTGAAGGACAGCATCAGCATGTAGCGTGCTAAGATGGCGATGTCATCCCACATCAGATGCTGCTCCAAAGTCGGAGTTGGAGACAAGCACGTCTTATCAATTATTTTGCACATCCGTCCAATAACCTGTAATGATGCACAATTTAAAACACAAGGAACAGTTTTATCACAACTTTTAGTTTAACTTTAAAGTAACTAAGTCAAAACATAGAAACTTCCTGATCATTAAAACAGATACATGACGTCATAGTTCAGCAGGCAAAAAAAAGTAATTACCTTGCTTGAAACCAATTTCACATTTCCAGAGGCCAAAGCTACAGCAGTATCTGCCATCACCTCAGCTTTGATGGATCCCAAGCCACCTGTTGCACTGGTTTTGATGAAGCTGTCTAGTACAACATCAAGCAGATCTGTAATCTAATGGAAGAGGGAAAACAACTTCAGTTTTTTACAGATTTATATTTTATTTGAAAGGCAGAGTAACAGAGAAGAAGGGCGGTGAGAGGGAAGGAGAAAACAGAGAGAAAGTGAGCGAGCGAGCACATGAGAGAGATATTGAGATCTTCCATCCTCTGTTCACTCCCCAAATGACAAGGAAACCAGGAGTCTGGAATCCATCTGGGTCTCTCACACAGGAGACAGAGGCACAAGCACCCAGGCCATTATTTGCTGCTTTCCCAGGAGCACATGCAGGGAGCTGGATCAGAAGCAGAGCAGCTAGGACATGAACCATCACTCAGATATGGGGTAATGTGTTGTGAGGGTGGCCTAACCCACTGTACCATGCTGCTGGCCCTGGACCATTCCACCAGCACAATTTTTAATTTAATGAACCACCCAACTAAATTAAAGTTTCGTTTTACGTGAGACCTTCAAAATATGTTTTACAAAGAGACCTGTCAGTAAACATATCAAAGGATATCAGAGAAAGGATGAGGACATTCACTTGATTTCTACAGAAATTAAGAAATTGATATCCAAAATTGGAAAAAAAAAACCCTCTATACACTTCTTCATGTACTTGGCAAAGTATCTCTGTGTTCCTCGAAAACAGTACTGGATGATCAACATAAAATACAATTATTTTTAAACACAGGAAATGACAGCAAGTACTGAGAAGCTTTCTAGGGCTATAAAACCAGATCAAAGATCATTTAAAATTATTTGGAGGGAGTGGAATCTGGTCTAGTAGTTAGGGACACCCACCTCTTACATCAGAATACTGAGTCCAGTTCCTGGCTCTTGATTCTGGCTTCCTGCAAATGCAGACCCTGGCAGGTAACGGTGATGGCTCAAGTCACTGGGTTTCTCCTCCATATGGGAGACCTGGATTGAATTCCCAGCTCCTGGTTTTGGCCTCAGCCCAGCCCTAACCACCATGGGCATTTGGGGAGTGAACAAGTGAACGGAGCTCTTTCCCTGTCTCTTTGCCTCTCAAATTAAAAATAAGTAAACAAATAAATAAAATTAACAGTACTGTTTGAGTAAAGGCATTGTTGTCCATTAACTCTTATCAGTTAAAAATGTTAGATTCTATCCTATATTGGCACTACCTGATAGAACTATAAATGAAAGCTGGTGTTCCAAATAGCAACATTAAGAAACATTTATGGGCCGGCGCCGCGGCTCACTAGGCTAATCCTCCGCCTAGCGGCGCCGGCACACCGGGTTCTAGTCCCGGTTGGGGCGCCGGATTCTGTCCTGGTTGCCCCTCTTCCAGGCCAGCCCTCTGCTGTGGCCAGGGAGTGCAGTGGAGGATGGCCCAGGTCCTTGGGCCCTGCACCCCATGGGAGACCAGGAAAAGCACCTGGCTCCTGGATCCTGCCATCGGATCAGCGCGGTGCGCCGGCCGCAGCGCGCCGGCCGCGGCGGCCATTGGAGGGTGAACCAACGGCAAAGGAAGACCTTTCTCTCTGTCTCTCTCTCTCACTGTCCACTCTGCCTGTCAGAAAAAAAAAAAAAAAAAGAAACATTTATGGAAATCTATGGTGTACAGGGAACCAGAATACACTATAAAGCACTACTTTCTAGAAGTGACACCACAATTCTATAGCTAATACCCATATAATTATGCTGGGGAGAACAGTACTGAGAGAGGAAATCCTATGAGAGGAATCAAACATTTACAGTTCTGAGTCAAATGAACAGCTGGGTGGGCATCTGTATGTTTTTGAAGGTGGGGACTGTGTTCCTTACGGCTGTTAATAATGCCTAGTATGGCACTTTGCACAGAGCGTGTCACATAAGCATCTGTGCAGAGAAGCTATTAGGCAAACATGTGTCCAAACTCAATACCTGCCCAAGGCTCCCCCATATTTTTGCTTGAATAGACGGGTACATCTGTTTTTCATTTATGGTCATTGTTATCAGCTTATCAAGAATAGCAGTCACTCTTTGTCGTTTGGCATCATCGTTATGCTTGCAAAAACGGACTAGATTGGACAGCCACGGAGTCATATATTCCAAACAGAGGTGCTTCAACTCAATACCTGGAAAAAAATACCATTAGCATAGATGGTCAAAGAAAACCACATCAACAATGATTTTAACATAAAGGGGGGGGGAGGTAAAAGGTGAAGACCATCACCTAGAATTAGGCCTGGAGAAAAGAGACTTGGCAAATACATGTTTGATGACAGAAGTGAAGAGAAGCCTTGGAGAAAATAATTTTAAAAGCTGTAAGCCAATTTTTGAAAAGTTTTGTCTTATTTTTCTCCCTTTTAATCACTTCTCTTCCAGTTTAAAAAAAAAAAGTGTTTTCTTCTCATTGTAAAAGGAGAATGTGGTAATCATGCAAACTTTGGTAAAAGGAAAGCATCACCAAAAAACGGAAGTGATGTTAACTGTATCTCTCCCCAGGCTTTCAAGTCTAAGTAGAGATAACGCATATTTATGTGTGTAGATCACCCATGTACCACATCCAGTCCACAACAATTTTGCTAGTTTGTCACTATTACACCGAGATTATATTAACATTCCCCAAAAACATTTTCACTTTTTATTGAGAAAAGAGCTCAGACTTACAAGAAAACACAAAAATAGCAAAATTGCCTCTATACACTTCTCATAGAGTCTCAAAGACCATTTTTAAAAAATTATGGTAAAATATATACAACATAAATAGCACCTTTCAAACATTTTTAAATGTACAGTTCAGTGGCAGTAAGTAATTCACACTGTCATATAAACATTACCACTGTCTAGAATATTTTCACCTTCCCACGCTGAAACTCTGTATCAGAAACATTTTAATGGCCTCATAGGATTTCATTTATGGAGATGTAATAATTTAATCAGTTCTTTATTATTTATTTTTGAACTGATTTTTTTCCTATTATATTAAGTTCAAATGCAGGCAAAATCAATCTACAATAGAGATCTTCATAGTGCCAACTCTTGGTGGAGGAACAGTAGTGACAGAGGAGGTCCTTCTGCACCCCACAGTGCTCTGTGTCTTCATCTGGAAGACACTCTTGTGACACAGTCACAGGTAGCAGTTAGTTCACCAGATTGTTAGCTTACAAACCAGGCACTTCCCTGAAGACAAAATAAACCACAATTAAAATAACTGCAATGTGCTATGTGTTACCCCAGCACTAATTCCTTAGGAGAAATTCTAATAAGTAGATTTATGAGGCCAAAAATTAGGAGCATTTTTAAGGATCTTGATATCTACTTCCAAACAGCTCTCTAGAAAAATAGCCCCAGTTCACAATTCCACAGACCATTATTATATTTAAAAATCTTTGCCAGTCTCAAAGCTGGGTATGTTATCTCACTGTTTTCTCAATTCGTAATTCTATCTTATTAGTAGGATTAAAATATAAAACTTTTTATTATTATTATTTTTAAAAGATTTATTTATTTTACTTGAAAGTCGCAGTTACACAGAGAGAAGAGAGAGAGAGAGAGAGAGAGAGAGAGATCTTCCATCCACTGGTTCCTCCCCTCCCAGATGGCCCCAATAGCCGGAGCTGTGCCGATCTGAAGCCAGGATCCAGGAGCTTCCTCCTGGCCTCCCACACGGGTGCAGGGGCCCAAGGACTTGAGCCATCTTCTACTGCTTTCCAGCCACAGCAGAGAGCTGGATTGGAAGTGGAGCAGTCGGGACTCGAACCGGCGCCCATATGGGATGCCAACTCTGCAGGTGGTGGCTTTACCAGCTACGCCACAGCACGGTCCCCCACAAAACTTCTTTTTAGCATGATCAATTTAGAGATAATGCACATTTATGTGTATGTTACTGTTGATTCATTTTTTAATCTATAAACTATAAACCTATTTATAGTTTAAACTATAAATAATTTTTCTAAATTTATAAATCTATAAAACTCTACATGGTTAGAAAATATTAATCTTCTCTCATATTTTTGCCAAATATACCTTCTTGTTTCTGACTTATCTTCCACTTGTTATGAACACAGTTTTTGGAAGTTTTATAAAGTCAAATCTGTTTACCATTTACTTTGTCTCCTATTTCACTTCTTTGGCTTCATACTATCCTTACTCATCTAGAAAGTAATTAAGTATTTACCACTTCCTCTTCTTTTTTGAATTGTTCCCAGTTTTTATCTTCAACTCTTAAATACAGGCAGGCCAGGGCTTCTGCTGTGGTGTAGCAGGTTAAAGCCCCAGCCTGTAGGCCAGAAATCCATATGGGTTCTGGTTTGAGTTCCGGCTGCTCCACTCCTGATCCAGCTCCCTGCTAATGCGCCTGGGAAAGCAGCAGAGGATGGATTCCTTGGGCCTCTGCATCCATGTGGGAGACCTGGAAGAAGCTCCTAGATCCTGGCTTTGGATCAGCTCAGCTCCAGCCATTACGGCCATTTGAGGAGTGAACCAGTGGATGGAAAACCTCTCACTTTCTCTCTACCTCTCTCTGTAACTCTTTCAAATAAATAAAATAAACTTTAAAAAATTTTTTTAAATATAGCCAGGCCTTAAGTTGGCATTTTGTTGTATAAGATAGAACTTCACTCATTTCTCAACCTAACTTCTTAAATGACTTACTCTCCCCCCATCCATTGTGATGGTTTTATATCCATCTACTTTGCTTAAGCTAATCTGATGATTCTTGAACACCCATGTGATACTTATTTTATCACTATAAAGTGTTCACATATCAGTATCAAGTCTCTGTTTTCTCTCAATATTTTCATACCTATTCTTATATTTTCAAATAGAATTTAGAATCACCGTAAATTCTATCTCTATTCCCAGTCTTCTAATTCCACGGCTATTATGATAGGATTGCATTAAATTTAAAGAAAACTGAGCAGAACTATTTGGGCAGGAACACCATATGCTTATGCAGTCACTGAAGTCTTCATATATTAATACTTAGCAAAACAGTTTTATCCTTTTCTTAGTTTGTCAGGCTTGTATATGTTGTTAGTGTTATATTTTTACATTTACTATCTCTTATTTTTAAATATATAAATAAGGGCACTAGTGACCTAATCTTGGTGAATTATATAAACTTTCAATTGTCTAATACATAAAAATCTAGATAGATGCTTGAGTGCTGAAAAAAAAAAATCGGAGAAAGATAGAAGGGAAGAAAATGTCAGGAAGTGAGCTGGGAGTTGATCAACACTCATACACTGCAGTGTACGGGGATGCACAGATACAGTGAAGGCATGCGCAATTCATGAGACAAACGAACAAGTCAGGGCTGACTCGGGACCTTGTGCCATTCCACTCTCTGAACCGTGTGTGTCTGATAAAACCACGATTTCAAGTTAACCTGAAGAAAAAGATAAACGATGATTTCCCTGCGATTAGAGATGACATGGCTACTTCATTCATGTGGAACTTTCTGCTAGGAAGAGAAATCTGAAATTGATTAAGCAGAAGCAGGGAAGAAAATATATGTAAGTGGCCCGGGGATGTGTAAGGTACCTTGCCACCTTGCTTTTGTTGCCTGGATTTTGGTACATTTCTCAACGTTGCCTACCAGGAAATCACTTCAGAGTTCCTTCAGTTAGAGGGTACCAGAGACGAAAAATTACAAGGGGTAAAAAGGCAAAAATATAGTACGTGAAAAATTTCACCGGCAAATTCTGAAATGAAAGGGTTTTCTTCAACTTTTCTTAGAATCATTGTTAGTATTAAAGAAAATTATCATTACTTACTAGATTTGCTAAATCCAGAAATACACTCTTCCAAAAATTCTAACGTGAGGTGTGGCTCGTTGGCTGCCAGTGTCTTACTAATCGAGACAATAAAGAGAGTGTTGTTGGCAGGGATACATAAACCTGATGTCTCTAGTAACTGGCCCTCGATTTTTAAATTAAAAGTACAAGTTAAGGCACAGAGAAGATTATAGGCAGCTGACCTAGGAAAAAACACAAATAAAGTTTTTTTAAAACTTATTTTTCCTTATAATTCCCTCAATTTTTCATAACATACAATATGTGATTCTATTGCAAACCATGACCAGTTAGTTTAAAAATTATAATCAATCAGACAGAATGCTATGATTCTACGGCAAAACCAAAATATCCCTTGATCATTCAGGGACATTTTTGAAGAGGGAGATTCTCACATGAGGCTAAGACAAATGGTTATCGGCCCTCCTAAAGACATCTCACTCAGACATAGACTGTGACAGGCTTGCTGTCTGACAGCAGGTAAATGGGAAGTCGGAAGAAGGCGTAACGTCATGTTTCCAGTGGAGTCTCCACTCCAGCTGCAATTCTCTCTCCCTACAGATATGGTTATTACCGTGAACATAAGAAAAGAACTGTGATGAACCCATACCATTAGAATATTAAAATATTTAATCATTAAATTCTTTGTGGGTGTCCCACAAGTTACCCTGCATTGGAAGTCAAAACCAAAATCAACTTATAAGTCTTCCCCCTTTTCCTTCGTTGACCACATTCCTTCATATATAACCAAAAAAAGAAAACACTGTTAATAGCGAGGTTCCATTAGGACACAAAATCACTTATAAATCTCTAAAAATATATTTAAAGGTCTTGGACACAGTTAAAAAATTGAGACTCAATTTTGAAATTTTATTTTTTTCTCCTCCATCTAACAAAAGAAATAGCTTACTCAATATATTTCAAGTCTTCCTTACCTCTGAATTTTCATCATGTTAATATATTTATGCAACAACTATTTTTTGGTAGTAGTGGGGAATCACTAACATCTAAGCCTGCCTAAAGGCCTTCTCTCTGGGTTGCCACGCTGTCATGGGGTGGGCATTCAGTATGGCAGTTGAGATGTCAGTTAAGACAGGCATCCCCATCAGAGAGTCTGGGGCTGAGTCCTGCCTCTGGGTCCTGACTCCAGCTTCACACCAGCACAGACCCTTAGAAGTAGTAGTGATGGCTCAAATAACTGCATTCCTGCCACCCACGTGGGAGACCTGGATTGAATTCCCAACTCCTGTCTCTGTTCCAGCCCAGCTCCAGTCACTGTGGGCATCTGAAAATAAGCCAGAAGGTGGGATCTCTCTCTGTGTCTCTCAAATACATTTTTAAAAATATATTTGGGGCCGGCATCATGGCTCACTTGGTTAATCCTCCACCTGTGGCGCCAGCATCCCATAGGCCACCAGGTTCTAGCCCCGGTTGCTCCTCTTCCAGTCCAGCTTTCTGCTGTGGCCCAGGAGGGCAGTGGAGGATGGCCCAAGTATTTGGGCCCTGCAACTGCATGGGAGACCAGGAGAAGCACCTGGCTCCTGGCTTCGGATTGGCGTAGCTCCGGCCGTGGCAGCCATTTGAGGGGTGAACCAACAGAAGGAAGACCTTTCTCTCTGTCTCTCACTGTCTAACTCTATCTGTCAAATAAATAAAAAAAATTAAAAAAATATATTTAAGGGGCTGGTGCTGTGGCATTGTAGGTTAACAAGTTAAGTCTCTGCCTGTGGCGCAGGCATCCCATAAGGGCACCAGTTTGAGGAGTCCTGGCTATTCCACTTCTGATCCAGCTCCCTGCTGATGGCCTAGGAAAGCAGTGGAAAGTGGCCCAAGTGCTTAGGCCCCTGCACCCACGTGGAAGACCCAGAAGAAGCTCCTGGATTTGGATCGGCCCAGCTCCAGCAGTTGTGGCCATTTTGGGGGTAAACCAGCAAATGGAAGATCTCTCTCTCTCTCTGTCTGTCTGTCTGTCTTTCCCTCTCTCTGAATGTAACTCTATGTCTCTCAAATAAATAAATCCTTAAATATATACATATACTTAAAATTTGTCTTTACATTACAAAACAGCAGGGGTTCATAGAAGCTAATAATTATTAGAACATTATTAATATTTTTGTGTGAAGAACTTTGAATTAGAAATTAAAGGCAAGCTTATGACTCCATTTTCCTAAAATAAAAATACTGATATTACTGTTTCTAAGTTTCTTTCTTTCTTTCTCTCTTTTTTTTTTTTTTGACAGGCAGAGTGGACAGTGAGAGAGAGAGACAGAGAGAAAGGTCTTCCTTTGCCGTTGGTTCACCCTCCAATGGCCGCCGCTGCAGCCGGCGCACCGCACTGATCCTGGCAGGAGCCAGGAGACAAGTGCTTTTCCTGGTCTCCCATGGGGTGCAGGGCCCAAGCACCTGGGCCATCCTCCACTGCACTCCCTGGCCACAGCAGAGAGCTGGCCTGGAAGAGGGGCAACCGGGACAGAATCCGGCGCCCCGACCAGGACTAGAACCCGGTGTGCTGGTGCCGCAAGGTGGAGGATTAGCCTAGTGAGCCGCGGCGCCGGCTGTTTCTAAGTTTCCATACCTTTAACTCCTAGATCCTCGGAAGTTATGCCATCTTGATGTTAACTTTTACTCCACATATCAACAGCTATAAAAAACTGGGCTTCTTCCCCGTGGGGCTGGGTGTCACAGACGCCCTAAGACACTGAAAGCGGAGCATTCACAGCGTTCTGTGTACAGCTGATGACAGTGCATAAACCGCACGAGGCCCATCCATGGAAAGAAATCTAGAATACTAAAAAGTCTGCTATAAAACTTGATCTACATGATACCCTAGCGAAGATTTTCTAAGGCTAAGGACTTGTATCTGTAAAAATTCAAGGTCATTGAGGCAGAATTATCCTAATGTGACAAGGAGAGGGCGCCAAAGGGAGAAGGGGCACAAAGAGACACTGGCAGGAGGGATGAAGGGGAAGAGGATGCAGAAAGTGTCTGCTAGGTGCTGTCCTGTGCTGACACACAAACTGTTAAACAGCTGCAGGCTTATAAGGAAGGCATTGCTACTTTGTTTTACAAATGAGGAAACTCGAGCTCAGAGAACCTCAGGATCTTGCCCAGATCTTACACAGACAGAAAATAACACATACATGTAAACCAGACTGACTGACTCCACAGACCATGTTCATTCCACCTTCTTGCTCAAAGTGTTGGGCCCTAACAAGACCAGCTATAACTCTGTTTAGATGAGCTTTGTGTTTGTGTTAGGATTTCTTTCAGGAATTCTGCTAAAGTGGACATACGTGGAAAGTATGCAATAATGTTATTTTATGAGTTGTTAAACATTAGGTCTTCCATTGTCAAACAATGACAATCTGATTTGATTGTTAGAAAACAATGATGACATACTTTTGACATGGAAAGATTAGTTAAGATTCAGAGTTGGGGAAACTTAATTTAGGAGCAGACTTTTTAAAAAGACATTCCTTTTAAAAAGTCTTTTAAAAAAGTCTGCTGTTGTCTGAAAAGTTTCCTGGAGAAAAGGCATGTACTGGCTTTGAGTGAATCACCCTCACTCAGAATTCCACAGTTCATATGAATACATTGGTTAACCAATGCTGCATACCTTCCAATTTACAGTATTAAGGAAGGACTGTCTTAAAAGCTTATTAAGTGGTCTCATTTTAAAAGCCTGGATAAAGCTGAAGCAAACAAACCCTGAATAAAGTTGAAGCAAATATTAAAAAACAAAGAAACAAAAAAACCAACCTACCGTAAACTAGGGTCTGAACTGCCCAAATTAAGTAATGCAATATTAAGCAGTGTCCCAGGTACGTCTTTTGGCCGAATCTTGGTGTGCTGGGGGATGGAGTCAGGCTGTGACAGCTCCCAGCGTGTCCGGATATGAATGATAGACTGGACGATGGCTTCACACTCCTGATGCATGAAGGTGAGTGGTGTGCCCTGGTTTGCAATGGTTAAGGTGAACTGGTTCTCATCCACCAGGCAGATCTCTTCAATTTCCGAGGCATAATAGATATCATTTAGAAAAACTGACTGCCCTAGGACTTTTGTTCTCTCAGCTGAGGTTACTTGAACAGCAGTAGAACCAACCTGGAAAGTGGTGGTGAGAGGATGAGGTGAAGAAGATTAAATTCCATTATGTAGCATTTCTGAGAGGCTCCAAAACCAACCAACCAACCAACCAACCAACACCACATTTGCGACATAAGGAGCTACCACCATTCAAATGGGTCCAATCATTATTGTGATACATTTCAAAACAAAGAGAAAACATTCAATTTTGCTTTTACAAAAAGTCAAGCGTCCTATACACAAGTCCTGATTTTATCCTGAAGTTCACGTTCCTCCTTCTGCAGAAAGCCTGTGATAACCAGATGACTCGAACAAGGTGACTTCCACTCTGCACACCGTCCTGCCACTGGACTGACAGATGGCTAACTGCCCTTTTCTGAAACACCCTTTTGACTCCTACCCAACCCAGGTCGGAAATAGGTGCACACTTCTCGTATTTTCCACAGGACCTCTGTGAAGAGAGAAATCATGGTCGTCTTTTGACAAAGATTACTATGAGGACACGGAAGGGAGCCAGGATATAGTCTGGTTAGACCAGGAAGGCAGTGACTAACTACACGAAGACTGAGATTTACCTTAATGGAAACTTTGGTGTCTTTGTGAGCTAGCTTGAGAGCATTGTGGAACACCTTTAGGTCCTCTTCTAAAGCCAAGGTGGCAGCAGGCAGTTTCTGTTGTTCGTGCTCTATGTGCTCAGCCAGTTTCCCAGGACAATCTATGAAGATGAGTCTTTTACTACCTTTGAGACCAGTCAGCAGCCGCTCATGGTACTTGGTGTACTCCCTGACCCAGGAGTTACAGTTGTAGACATAGACTGCAGAGACGTTGTCATAAGCAAAGCCAGGAAAAACAACAAACCACTTGGAGAGAAAGTCTGTTTTAAAGCGATTGCTGGGCCCAGTATGCGTAAGGTCCACTACAATTTCATATGGCTTTGCATAATATGGCTTTAAAGTTAGCAAGACGTGGTATATCAGCAGATCACCATTGATTTGGCCAGTTTTGAACCTAAGGAAGATGACAAAAAAAGGAGAGACTGTTAAGCAAGTTCTGACTAAATATACAGATGCTATTAATCTATTTTATTTATTTTCTAATTAATCTTCCAGAGGTAATAATATAAAGCAATTACTCACAGTCTGGACTCATTTTTTAAACCAGCTCTTCCTCAGACATTGAGAAATAAGGTTAAAGTAAAAGGGACGGACAAAACCCCAGTGCAAAAATTTTGCACACCACTACCATAAAACAGATGTCCAACAGTCAAGAAAGGAGGAAGACAATGGGCACTGCTTGGTTGTCTCCAGGCCCATCAAGTTTCACACGTGAACAGTGTGGGTAGGCATGATGCACCTGGAGCACTATAATGGCTCTAGCCGGTCTGTTTGTTCTGTCTTGACAGGAGACTGTTTCAGGAATGAACACATGACTCAGATCAGTACAACGAGGCCGAAGAGGCCCAATTCAGATTACACTACTATGACCTGGGACTTTTTCCTTGCCTGATATTTATATATAAGGGAATACACAGCCCTTGGAGATGCCTCCTCAGATCTTGGGCTATGAAGGAGAAGCCTGCCCAAAACTGGAAGAGAAGAGGCTGAGAAATGAAGAGAGAAACCAGCGTCCTGCTCATGTATCATGAACCCTAGATAAAGTCTCCCCTGAGATCAAATTTACCCTTGCACTATTCACCTGTGTAGGTAAATAAATGCCGTGTTTTGATTATGCATTAGGCTGAAGACATGAGCCAGGAACTCCATCCTGGCCACCCTTATGGGTGGGGTAGGGGCCATCTTCCACTGACTCCCCAGACACATTAGCAGGAAGCTGGATCAGAAACAGAGCAGCTGGGTCTCAAACTGGTGCTTTGATGTAGGATGTCGGTATTTCAAGTGGCAGCTTAACTCATTGTGCTACAATGCTGGACCCTGGGCCTGATATCATCTATACCTAATGACTCTGGTACCACTAACTAGGCTAAGAAAAGTGTCTTCTCGTAGAGTTTCTAATATTTTTGAGAGAAAGCAAGATAAAAAATTTAAGCTAAGCAACTTTAAAACATTTCAAGGTATAAGATATAGGTGGGACATAATCTCTCATCAAAGAAACTACAGAGAAAATACTGCTATTAAGTTTAAAAGAGGGAAAGAGCAACACAAACTGCATACCAAAGATTTTCAAGTTCATGAAAATATACTACGCAAAAAGTACGCATAGTTTTCAAAACTGTTCTGTATCAAAATAAACTTATCTCTTAACTCTATTTTTCCACAAAAGTTTTCAAGTCCTCTCAGAGAAGACACAGTGCTGACCCAGGAAGGAGGAATCTAGAACTCAACAGGAGAACGAGGGGGCAGGCCTTAGACGGAGGGAAAGCAGAACAGAAACATGGTTAGATGTGTGGGAGCTGGCTGGCTGGAATGGAGGATTCATGTAGAAGTAGTAAAGTGGGGGAAACAAATGCATATTAGCCAAACTATAAGGCTAAAACCAGGGCTTAGCTTTTTTCCTAGAGTTGCAGTATTTCTCAGAGTACGTTCTGTGAACTACTGGCATCAGAATCAACTATGATGCTTAGAAAAGATGCAGTTTCCTGGTCCCAACCAGACCTTGTAAATATGAGTGCTTGTTGTGGGACCTGGCAATTTTCTCATTTGTAAAGAACATCCTTTTTTTTTTAAAAAAAAAAAGATTAATTTATTCGAAAGTCAGAGTTACACAGAAAGAGAGGAGAGGCAGAGACAGAGAGGAGAGGCAAAGAGAGAGAGAGGTGTCTTCCATCAGCTGGTTCACTCCCCAAATGGCTGCAACAGCTGGAGCCCAAGGCCTTGGGCCATCTTCTACTGCTTTCCCAGACCATAGCAGAGAGCTGGATCAGTCGGGACTCGAACCAGCACCCATATGGAATGCTGGCTCTGTAGGTGGCAGCTTTACCTGCTACGCCACAGTGCCGGCCCCCTAAAGAACATTCTAATCTGGTCTTTATGTGCACAAACATTTCTAAATCACTCTTGTAATTATTAAAGAGTTGTTCAACTTTTTTAAAAAGATTTATGTATGTATGTATGTATGTATTTGAAAGGCACAGTTAGAGAGAGGCAGAGGCAGAGAGAGAGAGAAAAAGATCTTCCATCATCTGGTTCACTCCCCAGATGACTACAGTGACTGCAGCTGGGCCAATCTGAAGCCAGGAGCCAGGAGCTTCTTCCGTGTCTCCTATAGGGTACAGGGCCACAAGTACTTGGGCCATCTTCTACTGCTTTCCCAGGCGCATTAGCAGGGAGCTGGATTGGAAGTGGAGCAGCTTGGACGGGAACCGGCACCCACAGGGAATTCTGGCATTGCAGGTGGCAGCTTTACTTGCTGTGCCACAGTGTTGGCCCCAACATATTTTTTTTTAAAGAAAGGGGTGATATGATCCAACAAAGTGATGTATATAGAAGATACACAAAAGAATGAGGGCTAGTAAAAAGGGGTAATGTCTTGGTATGACTTATTAAGTATCCAAAATAACACACTGACAGTTAAAATAGGAAAGAAAAAACGAATCCAAGAATCTCAAAGTAGGACCAACATGATCCAAGTCTAATGAGGACTAAAAGGAAGGACCTGAACTGAAAAGACCTGCTCTATTCCAGACCTCTGAGACCACAAGGAATACTGCCGTGGAACAAGGTGATCATGAGTGGCAGCCATTTGTGGAGGATAAAAGAGAGCCCCTTTTAGACCTGTTGTATTTCGGGTGATGACAGGACATTTGAGGTGTGTATGTATCCACATTACATTACACAGAAGCATCAAACAGAAGTTCCATATGTTTACTAGATCTTTCCTCAAATTGTTGCTATTCCATAATTTAAGATATCAGTTATGTGTTTCCCTCTATTAGCTGACAAATAACCCAATGACTCCAAATCTCATTTTCAAATTAGTATGTTCTGTGCAAATAAAATTTTTAGAGATTTTTAAAGCTGTAGGGAAAATGACATTTTACTGCTTTTGAATAATACTAATGTATCATCCAGAACTTACAGCAGGCATATGTGATGAGCACAAAGTTAAAAGGCAGTAAGTGGAAAACCCTCCCTGCTCTGGAGGCGGGGATTTGCTCAACAAAGCCGCCTGTCATGCCAGAGGCCAACTAGACTAGTTGGGAGTTTTTTTCTTTCTTTTTTTTTTTTTTTTCCTGTGACATGTGCTTTAGTTGCAGTGGAAAGGAAATGTGTCATCTGTGGTTTGGTTTTAAAAGTGGAAAGTAGCTCGACATATCCTTTTCTTACTGCAGATTTACTTTAAGGTTCATATTCAAGTCTATTCTGCTTTAAATAAGAAAAGAAGACAAGAAAAGAAGTGGTTTTACTAAAATCATATTATAATCAGATTTTGACCAAGCATTTTGTAAGGTAGGTCATATATATGGCTTTTCTTCTGCCTTTTCACTTCTAACTTTGTACAGATTCGTATTCAAGGAAGTACTTTTGGAGTGTGGAAGAATCTCACTAACAAAATACATTCATGAGTGACTGAAAATGTATGCTGTTATTTTTGTCTGCCCTATTATGTAAAATTTAAGTTAGAAATGGAAAGACCATCAAACATGGAATTTAAATTAGGATTAGGATGGATCAGAGTTTGGACTTCCCAAGTGAACTGAAAGGTTTCATTTGTTATGTAAAAAAGTTTAAAAATGAATTCCTCATTACTAATGCTTAGGTATTATAAATGTTATTGAAAATGATCAAAGAAAAAGGAAACTCACCACAATCTTGGTATTCATGGCATAAATTAGAGATATAGACACAGTCATCAATTCTCGGGCATTTGTAGGGGTAAGAGAAAATCTCATTTTGTCAACAATTGTTTGTTTGGGCATGGCAGTCCATCTGGCTGAAGACAATCAACAGCGGGCCTATTATCTGGCCCGCGGTAAGCACTGTCAGAAAGTGTACGAACCCTACGATGCGTACTACATAGTGAATGAATGCATGTGACAAGAATAGCCCACTTTAAGTCATTTCAGCACCTAAAACAGAAGTCTAGTTAAAAGGATCACAATTATTGGCTAGTCCAACTTACAGTATTTTTTTTAGTCAAAGAATCATAAAATAGTCACAGATTTATGTCATTCAACTCAAAAATTGTGGCTGAACACTGTAATACAAAAGTCAGTGTACTGTATCTTTAACTATTAAAGGTCACAATCCAAAAAGTAATGTTATTCCTAGAACATTTAATAAAGGCTTTTCCCTCTCTGCTATTATGGGGGCATATGAAATATAAATATGAAATATAATTACAGAGGTGAGTTTCCAATTAGCACTGTCCATTATATGCTGTTTTTGTTTGTGTAACTAATATATCACATTCATTATACTCAATTTCTATATTGCAATAGCATACAGATGCTACGCAATGACACAAAAACTAATGCTTATCAAACTGATCTCAATGTACGCTTGGCACTGGCGTCGGTGTTGTTGGAGAATGGGTTAGAAATACAGACTGTCAGGCCCATCCCAGAACTGTGGAATGAAAATCCACATCTGAAAAAAAGACTTCTTTGCACCTTCAAGTTTGAGAAGGATGTCTATACATTTTTGCTGTTAAGTGCCCTCAAATAAATGTTAACAATAAAATTATCTTGGCATGCTACTACAGAAGAGATACTTCAACAACGGTGATAAGTTCTCCATGCTAAGTTAGTGGTATCTGGAATAGACATCCCAGTTCTACTGAAATTTTTAATCCAACAGTAGATAACAAGAATTAGGAGAACTTGCCTCTTTTTTATACTGGCTTCCAGAAAGCTCAGAGCCCCAAATGAATCTCGCCTTTTCAACTGTATATGGAGATACTTACTATCCGCCATTTCATTTTAAATCCTGAAGATCCTGATGCTCTATTCCTCTTTTGTTGCACAATTTTTCAGAATCATAAACATCAGAAAAAGAATGTTATGCATAAATGGCAATTTTAAAAGGCCAATAACTTCTGCTGAACTTCCA